CACACACTCTCACACACCCACATGCTCCTTTACTCCACACCTATTGTGTGATCACCTCTATGTGCACTACACAAACGCATATAAATCAGGACAAAAAGATTTTTTGAAATCAAATTAATGAAAGTTGTAGATATTTGATTTTTAGAATATAATTTGGTATTTTTCTGGTTCTGAGATGGCAAAACCCCTTGCTGAAAGGAGTACTCCCGGGGGCAAGGGGAGGGACTTCTGGTGGCAAAGGCTGGGGGTTAGGGGGTGGGACTTCCAGTCCCAAATTGGCAACCAGGGGGCGGGGCACCTGTCAAGGGGCAGTGCTACCCATTTGTCCCTCAACAGCTTGCCAAAACTGTGTAAGTGGCCCTGTGCCCGAAATAATTGCCCACCCCTGCTTTACAAGACAATTACTAAGGACAAAGAAGTTTCAGTATTTGGTTAAGAGAAAGTTACTTTGCCTGAGAGTTTCCAGTGCCAAACTCCCTAAATCCATCATGCTTTCTAAGATGGATGGGTATACTTTCAGAAAGCATGCAGTTCACCCCCCTCCTTCTCCCACCTGAGATCAGTTGAGTAGAGAAGTTAAAACAGAGATCCATGCTTAGAATAATCCAGTAGGTAGGCTTCTGGTATTTTCTATAGCTAGTGCTATGTTACTTCTTGGCTGTCTGTTCCCATAAAACTGAAATTTGGCAGCATGGGTCACAGAAATGTATGACTTCAATGTCAATTACTTGTTGTATCCAAAAGAGCAGCACAAGGTGGCCCTGGTACTACAGCTACAAGGTAATCAAAGTTTTCTGTACTCTCCCAGGATACAGCAACCATTTTTAAAAACATTACATATTAAATATTCATCTAACTGCATTACTGTTGGTTTTAAAACACTGGAAAATGATGAAGTTTGATGTAAGGCTTTGTTATGTGTAACAGAGTAATAATAAAATTAAAATTATATCTTTCAATTCAGGATGTCCTCTCACTGGAGACAAGTTAATTTCATTCATTTAATTGAGTAAAGTTTAGCTATTTTGACCATGACAGCAGATTACCAAAGATGTTCAAATGCTGAAAGAAACAGCTGTATCATACACAAATAACTTGGTCATTTGAGTTACTTTCCCATACAGGATAAATATATAAACCACACCAACTGCCCCCACCCAAAAATAGTAGTACAGCTTCATACAATTTCTGCCACTGAATTAAAATTCCACTGTCTTCATGCATTATTATTAGGTAAGTAGGTTACATTCCAGATTCTCCCATAAGCATTCTTTGTATGGGAGTTAGCTGGTTTTAGTTCTTCCACAGTTCAGGTCTGTGCCTTATCCCTCATATCTTTTGTAAGCTCTTGGTATATTTACTGTATTATAATCACTTTTTAATTAAAAGTCAGCCTAATTCAAAATAAGATGCATAAAACATGATTAAAGAAAGTTATGGCATATCCTCTTCCTTCTAGGAAAATGCAGTTTTTTAAAATACAATAAGTGTTAAACACTCAGAAGCAAAAATCTAGTCTTACTGTGAATTATCTTCATTGTTTATTCTTTTTAGTTCTCGTATGTGAAGATTTCTAACTCTCTCCAGACGTTCAAGTTCTGCTTGTATTTCAGCTTCTTCCTGCAAATGAAAAGAATGAACCATAAAAGCTCAATTTGCTCCCTATTTGAAAAGGATATTTTTACCCATATATCAATACAAGTGGTGATGGAGGAATGTTGCATCATGAAATCCTGCTGAACTAGAAGTCAGACCTGCTTTTTTCATAATGTCTAAGAAATTCAAAGAGATAAGACAAACCTATTTCAAGCAACCTTTCCCTCCATGAAACCTGTAAGTAGTAGGATGTTCACAGTTTTGTTCTGCACTGCAGGGATGCTATTCAAACTAAGAGGCAGCTGGTCTTGTACCTCAGCCAGAAAGAGACTACTTAGAAAGTGGCCTGAAAGTGACTCATAAGGTAGAAAAAAATGCAATATGTGCAGTTAAGATTTTGTACAAATCTACAATTTAGGAAAAAATTATTTTAAAATATTTTGAAGCTCATGTGTGAAACAAAGCAAGAAATAAAGAATTATTCATTATAATATAAAGTCAATTATTTATCAAAGAATATTTTTGTAGTTTCAAAAAATTCTCTCACTTATGTATTAATAAGTTCTCATCTGCAATATGTATGCTGCCAAAGACACAGGGGCCACATACAGATGAGTGTGGATGTGCAGTTTGTGATGCCACCGACCAGTCTGCGGCACCACACACCATGCATGCAGGCGTTCCCTGTACTACTACTTTGCAGCACAGAAGGTTTTCTTGACCCCAGGAGATCCAGGGGTCAAAAAAACCCACACGAAAAAAACCAAGGTGGTGCACGTGGCAGCAGTGTGCACTGCCCAAAAACAGAGCCTGCCTGGCCCCCAGGACCCCAGGTAAAGCTGCTCGGGCCAGTAACTGTGCTCCCCTGATCCAGCTGGCATAACCTGCTGTGTGCCAGAGCATGCGTGACATGGGCGTTCCCCGGGGACAAGCAGCAGTAGCACACCTTGTGCCACTGCTACTTGCCCTCGGAAAAACAAAAGTCTGCGCTCATATGGACCTGCCCAGGGTGGGGGATTTCAAAACCACATGACTTAAGACAGTCCCTAACTAACACAATACTTTAACCCCCACCCTCTGCCCTCCAAATACTTATTCCAGGCACTTGCCGTTTACAGATATACTTTAAATAGTTACCCATTCTGTTGTATCTTGTAAACAATGAAACATCTAATACTTTATTTGCACTTGGTATTTATAGTTAAAATGGTTATATAATCTGTAAAAATGCTTCCTACAAGTTGAACATGAGTTAACAAGTTTAAATTCTAATTTAAACATGAAAACCTTTGCATATGCACAGCACTATCATTTTGTTACTATCGAGTTCTCAATGTGCTACATCCTTTTTTTATTTTTTGGTATCCCAATTCAGTAATATTTTGATCATTCCTCAGATTAAAGCATTTGTAAATTATTTTAAAATAAACATTCTTAAAAAGAAGATTTAACTGTATAATACCTTTTAAGAAAGGTTTATCACAAAAAATGTGGTAAAGTATTCTTGATTTGTGTTCTTAAGTGACAACAAAAATTGTACTGTTATGCCCTGCCCTCCAACTTGCATACAAGTTGCAACCTCTAGATACATTAGAATTGGCATGTGCAGTATACAAGGCTGTTGTGTCTAACACAACCAAACAAAGCATTTGAAGAATTTCTGTGCAGCAATGCAACGTGTTTTTAAATTACAGGTCCATAGTGAAACAAAGGAAAATGAGATCTCAAAGCTTATGTTAGCAGAGAACTAATGTAATAAAGCTGCGACTCAAGACACAGATTTTAAAGAATTTTTTGGCAGAAGACAGATAAGCACATAGCTATATTAAAATTAACCAGCCTGTAATTTTTGTTTTTCTGTATAAAATAGAAGACTCATTGTGAAAGCATATTGAAAAGTATCCAGCACTGTGTTAACATTTTATTTCCTCTACAGAGGAACTGCATTCACTTTATTGCTGTGCAATATAGCAAACAATTTTGTCAGGTTACCGAAAGCTATTGTTGCCACAAGCTGGACCTGAATGAAGGGAGACAGAGTTGGCAGCTCTACACCAGAGGAAAAACCCAACAAGGGAACGGAATACATCACCTTGCCACTGCAAACTTTTAAGACGACACATTCAAGAGGCAAGAGGAATATGATTATTGGTAAATTGATCTCTGCTTGTTCAAACACAAACATCTAACTCTGATCAAAAATTTAAAAAACCCAAACCTGTCAGGAACAATATTTTCATATTCTTCATATGGGCTAAGTACAGACAGTCAAAAAGCCTAAGGCTGAATCAATTTAATCATTTGCAAGTTAAACTGCCCAGACTGAACTGATAAGCAAGTGAACAGACATTCACTTACGATTCCAGAAATGCTGCCACATGCCTGCAGTGGCCCAGCCACAAGCTGGGGAGGAGAAGAGGGATGATTTGCAGGAGAGGTGCAAAGCCCAAGGAAGTCTGGGGGGGCTGTGAGTTAACTTGAATCTGGAGGGGATCTGGGACAAAAGCTCAATAAACTGATTTAACCTAAATTAGTTAAGTCTGATGCTACATCCATCCTCCAGGTTTATGGTTTATTTTAAACTAGTTTCAGCCATTTTGAAAGCAGTTTATGTGCACAGAACTTCTGTTGTGTTACATATTTGAACTGGTTTCTGATCACATATCAGTTTGCATGTAATTTCTGTCCCTACCAATGCTGTTTGTTACATATTTGTACTCTATATGGCTCTGCCATTAACACTTATATGTAAACTGAAACATTTTTGAAAGAATTACAACAATTCAGTTGATTTTTACAAATAAGAAAAGTTGAAATCCATCTACACACAAAAACGTAGCAATTATGGAATTATTCTAGGTAAAGTGACACACACTAAAAAGTGTTAGCTGAACTGGATAACTGAAACAAATGTAATTGTTACCTGAAACAAATTAAATGAACATATTCCCAGTGCATTTAAGACTCAAATGTATCAAAAGAACATTTTCCACGGACCTCTTGAGTCTCTCCTTACAATAGGCAGTAAAAACAAAGTCTATTTTACATTCTCATTTTGAGAAAAAAAGACCAAATCCCAAGTATTCAACATCTGAAGATGATACAAAAGATTAATTTTCTGCTGACAAAACTGGGTGGATTACTTGCTTCTCCAACTATACAGTATCATCTGCATTCTCTTTTTATATACAGTGTTAAATATTTTTAATATTTAGATTCACCTTTAAAGTACAGTTGAATGCCCTGATATAATATGCAGCTCCATATAACTTTATATTACTCCATAAATAAATTTTAAAAACACAATTGTGTGTTTTATTCATCATTTCCCCAAAGGCTAACAAAAAACCTGCAAATGCATCTGTTAAGGATTTTTTTTTCATTAACAAAATGCAATTCAGTGGTTCTCAAAAAGTTGTTCATAGTCCAAGGAAAACAGGCTGGTTACACTGTTTCTAGATGTTATTTTGGACACTAACTCATGGAATACCTGTAAACCACATTCAGATATTTTCTTGTTTCACATCACTGAAATACAAAATGAAGTAAAAAAAAAACCATTCTTCAGGACAAGAATCACTAGCAGGGAAGGAATTTATTTGGGGTCAGGAAAAGAAGAATATTGGTGGTAGCAGCACTACTGTGAAGCAAAAAAAAAAAAAAGGTGGGGGAAGGGAGGGAGAGAGAGAGAGAGAGAGAGAGAGAAGAAACAGGCAATGATTTTAAAAGTGAAGAGAAGGAGCAAGCAATACATAGGAATGTCCGGACCAAATTTTAGATGTATGCTGGTAACACAAGAGTTAAGTTTGATCATGCGCAGACAAGGCCTATGGAAAAGTCCACAGCATGCTCAGCATGTGCCCCCTGTGTGACCCTAGGGCTTGTCAATCAAAGCTGACCTAGTTTTGTAACAATGCGCATGCTCAGTCTCACACAAAGAATGAGGTAATTAGACCAGAAATTTCTCTTGGCAAAGCAACCTGATTGGCTACCTGGTTGCCTTAAAAGACTTGTGAGCCCCTCACCCAGGGCGAGACGAAGGAGACTGGAGAGACCTGCTCGAATGGCGAACAGAGGCTGCCTTGGCAGGGACTGTCTCCCTAGGAGAGATCTGAACTGAGAGCAGAGGCTGTTTCAACAGGGACTGCTCCTCAGGAGGGCTTTCTGGCCCATTGGTCTCCTCCTCGCTGCAGTTTTGCAGATCGATTCAACTCGTTCTGGCATTTGACTGACCACGATCCTGATCAACCCGAACTGCTTCTCGGACACCAACCACGGCATTGTCACCTCCTTCGGCATCTCATTGACCACCCGTTTTGTCCATTTGGACTGGCATCACACCATTAGTTGTTACAGTTCTGTTGTTCGTATCCCAACTGATGAGCTGTTGACCAGCCCTGGGACTATCAAGTTGGGCAGCCGCCCCTAGCTCCGGCTAGAAAGCAAGGGCTCACTCGAGAACCCCATGGGCCAACAAACCCCTTTGTTGTTTGTACGTTACTGTAACTGAAAAAGCAAGAGTTCCTCTGCCTACGCTCTAAAAGCGTAAGTAAATAAATCAACTTTATTTGAAACCGCACGTGTCCCGTACCGCTCAGACTCCTCACTGCCAATCCCGCCTGTTTTGTATCAAAACCCTCGGCCCACCGTGACCTTGGGGCCACTGTTCCCCAACAAGGAAAAGAAGGAGCAAGCAGTACATAGGAAGAGAAGGAAAAGAATCCAGGCACAAAGCAACACATAGCACTGGAGCATTAGGCAAAAAATGTGGAGGAAACTCTCTCTACCAACAGACAGGAAGGGAAAATGATAACCAAAAAGGTGAAAACATTTGTATCAAAAAGATTTTTCCCAAAACTGCTTTTCAGCATACCCAAAACTGCCAGAAGAGAACCAAGCCCCTTCAGAGTCAATGCACAACCACACTGATATCCAAAGTGCAACCATATTTTGTCAAAGTGCATTTTACACGACCTCCCAACAGTACCTTCCTCTAGATTCTGCATTAAGTGTGTCAAGTTACAGTATTAAATCCCTACAAAATATTAGCAAAAACAAAAGTATAAAAATTCAGTGCTCTTTTTAAAACACTTGCTCTACAGAACTATACTCATGTAGCCTCCATCTCCAGTGACAACAAATTTCTCTTAGACATTCAAGTTTTTCCCTATCAATATTTCTTAAACAAAGAAAAAACAGTATCATCATCCTCAAAGCAGGTGAATTTAGGCCCCTGACAGACTTCACACTTAAGACATGATTAAATGGTTAATATCATCTTTAAGTAGTGACCTGGGCAAAAAATCATTCAATTAATGGCCTCAAAAAAACAAAGAACCTGCTTCAAAGCTATTACACATACTGCACGTAACACAATGTATGTAATGATTTTGTGGCTGGTTCCTAGCACACCTGTACCTGAATGTATGGCCAAGTGCTCCCAGCCTTTGGAGCACATGGGAGTCTTGAAGCCTCTTGCATGTCCCAGAGGCTGGGAGCTCTGATCATCTGGTGGGGGCTCTCAGTCGGGCGAGTGCAAGGAGCCACGCCTGCTAACTCACTGGTGCAGGGAGGGCCTAGGATCAGGCTCCCCCTGCAACAGCAATATGGCACAATGCAATCTGATGCTGGATTCTACAATACCACTTCCTGCCATGTATGGGCGGCATGGCAGGAAATGTGATTGTTGGGAATCTGCATCAGATTCCATCATATCTTTAAATTGACATCTGAGAAGATTCTGTTGTCAACAATCCCACAAAATTTAAAGTGGCAAAGATTAATTCCTTCAGGACAGCTGCTGGCAACTTTTATAGGCTGCTGGCTCAATTAACTATCGATGTAAATATCATTAAAAAATTATGTTTAATCTCTTCTATCAGTTAACCAATAACACAGCAGCTCAGACACAGCTGCTGCTGGGAGCTGCTCCTAGGGCCCTTTGATCTGGGGGGACAGGAGGGAAGGGTGGAGGGAGAGGCAGTGGCAAGCTCAGTCAGACAACGCAGTCCAGGTGAAGTCTTGGGCTGGGAGGGAGGGAGCAACTGCAAACAGCTAACTGCTTAATTGATGAGTCACGGCTTTTTTTCTCTTTAATCTCAGTCCCCCTTGCCCCTCCCCTCCTTGCTCCTCCTTCCTCCTGCCTACCCTGCCTTTGGGTTCTTGTGGGGCACTGCACAGCTTCCTCCCCCTTTCCCTGCCAGACTGTCCCCCACCCTGCACTAAACAGTAACCAGTAAGATAACGGGTAATCTCTGGGCTTATCAGTTAAATGATCACCTAATATGAAGTAAGAAGTTTAACCTTTCATATCCCTAGGATTGACCCAGTTCAGGTCAGAGGTGGGTAGAAAGGACCTGCAGCAGTGGAAGAAAAGCATCCACTATAACTGCTTTTCTCTGCAGCAGTGGCAGAAAGCAACTGCCGCCAAAGCTCCTCGCTGCTAAGAACAACTAACTTGTTCAGAGGCATGAACTTTTGTAGGCTACAGCCTACTCCAAGTTAGTCTATAATTTGTTATCCTGCCCTGCCTTCTGCCTAATTTCAGACTAAGTACCTCTCCCTACTCTGATTCACAATTAAATGCAATTTTATTTAATGCTTAATACAGAATTTCTTCCATATTTACTCCAGCATTTCCTTTTCTTAAGATACTACTGGAATTCCTTGTTTGTACAGCCAACAATTAGTATACTACCCTTTTGACCACCTCTTTAAAAAGAATTACTGGACTAGCAGGGCTCAGAAGGAAGAAATGGCAAGTTCACTAAAAAAAAGAGAAAAATATCAGACAACAAAAATAATTTTAAAAAAGAGAAGGAAGGAGAAGTTCTTTGGAAATGGTTATAAAACCTGGGGAGTACTTTATTCAATACACAGTCCCCCTTGCTATGCACAGTGGGCTAGCTGATGATGACAACTGAAAAGGTTAACAAAGATAATCAAAACAAGGTAATCACTGAAAACAGCATATACTCTAAATTGGACTGCTCCTTTTTAAAAACAACAACTAAAGTGTGATAATTACCTATAAATTTAAATGGAATAGCTTTTTAATTTTTTAAATATAGGAGCAACAGGAAAAAAAAGTTATTTACTCCATATCTTGTTCTTTTGCTGCCCTTAATTTTTTTCCACTGCCTTTCATATAAAATTGTTGTGATCATCTGCTATTTTCCAATTTTAAAATACAATTTTTCAAATCCAGTTTAAATGAGTTTGTCTGAAGCAGCCAAGTTAAACAAATATCTTTGCATTACAGTGCACTGCTCAAATGGCTGAATTAATTTTAATACATAAAAAGTTTATAATAAGCACAAAGCACAAGCTGTGCAGTATGCATTATGGACAAGAAATTTCTAGCTATCATATTTAACCCATTGCCCTCTTTCCTCTGAGTATGTATAAATCAACTCATCATCAAATTCTTTTCTTGGCTTGAGGAGTCGAAAGTTCTGACATCAGAATACTCAACAAAACTTAATACCAAATCAATTAACTTAATCCGGGCCTGAACATTTTAGAAGCCTAACAACAGCACCCAAGGTGGATCCAGATGGGTACAGTTGCACCCCACTTTGATTTCTGGTCCACTCAAAGTTTAAAACCAACTGCCTGGCAGTACCAGTACGATTTCTATTCAGGTAGCAATGAGGAAACCTCTCGACTTTGTGGTTCATTGCTATCTACCCAATTCCTTCCAAACACTTCTCATTCCACAGGTGTTAACAACCCTCTCTCCATTTTTAATGCTCTTGATGCTCCACTAATCAAGCTGTTCTTTCTACTGAAATTCTAGTATTAGCTGCTCCTTTTAATGTAGCTTCTATTTCACAGCACTGGAGACTCTAGCTAAAAACACTAAACGTAGGTGTGCAAACGTTAACTCAGATGAACATCAATTCAGGTATGGAAATAACCTTCAATGAAGCACTGGATGCACTGCCAAGGTACTTAAGGCGGCTAGATTTTGTTTTATGAATTTAAAAGATTTACATGCAATTCTCATTCGATTATTTTGCCTGGTTTGTTGTGCTTTTATAAATAATATATGGTATAGCAAATCAATGCACCTTCCAATAAAGTTACATTTGTTTTTCCTGTGATCTTAAACTGAATAATATACCCCTAGGCCTCAAGCATATTGGTAAAGCTTCTAGTTTCTTTAACTGGAGAGAAATATGTTTTATTATGTGTGATAATCACACCATCTCTACCCCTCATTTCAAAATCCTAGATCCGCCCATGAAAGCACTTAAATCACTCTCCAGATTCTGGTTGAAATTTGGCAGCTACAGAAATGAAAGCCTGATAGGCAGTAGGGGAGAAACAAGTTAACAGTTATTTAACATAAGCAGCCTGCTGCACGGTCAACAAAAATCTCACTATCTACATTCTAGTTTTTCCACATTTAACATTCTGCTGTAACATTCATTGCACCTTACACTGTAACTAAGAATTGAAGGGCTGTACCCTGTTCCTAAGGAAAAAGAAATCATGATTTAACAGGCAAAAAAAAAAAAGGTTAAAGCAATAATGCCTAATCTTATGAGGTGCTCAATACTTTTCTGCAGAAGGTAGATTGCCCTCAGCTCATCCCGACTTCACCAGCTTGCCTTAAAGAAACGTAATATTTCAAAGAATCATTACACAGCCAGTAACATTTTAGGCAGCAGATACGACTAATGACAAAACAATGTTGGGAGTTACTCTATACACGTACCCTCCTTCGATGAGTGACTATAATAATCCCTGACAATAATCACCCCAATGCTTGTTCAGAGTATCAAATGGACTCACACCTTTCTATCACCCCAGATTTAGAACAAATAAAGTCACTATTCAGTACACAACTCTACACTGCTTTCTAGTAAGCAGTTTTGAAAAGAAGCCTGCTCTAGCTGCTGCTATGGCACCATTTGTTTTTTATTTTGATGCATGACAACAAAAATCCAAGAATAAAAGGACTCATACCTTTTTGAGATGTCCTAATCTAAGCTTGAAAATTTCCTCCTGTTCATGATATTCGGCTAGAGTTAATCTGCAAAAACAATACAATGCATGGGAGTTATAGCTTTTACAAGATAGTAAGAACTGTAAGATGCACAAAAAAAATCACTTTGTTTAGCATTTTAAAATGCAATTAATAAGCAGGTAACCCAAAGATGAAATCAATATCTACACAGATAAGAATGAAATAACTGAGAAACAGACATCTCTCTCTCTGATACATCTGTCTTACATAGTTGAAATTTCCAATTCCAGAATCTCAGCCTTTTAGCCCAATATGTCCTAAAACAGTATAAAATTAAGTAGCGAAAAAACAAACAAGTGTACAAACCCAAAGGTCAACTTGGGAAACACAAGGTCCAAGGCATTGTACCCTTGTAGGTAATTATTTTTCTTACAGTTACAGTATATTTTATTGACAAATAATTTGATTAGAGGTGACATTATTCATTAGAAATTTAAAATGGTTAACATTATTACCAATATATTTTTGGAGATAAGTTTATAAAATGCTTGATTGTATTGTTGACAGTTATTTTAACTTGGGTTAAATTACTGGTGAAGTAGGTCACTGTACCCTTTCACTGCTTAAGTGATTCAGCCACCATTTCCAGTTCAGCTCTGTTTGTAAAATAGACTTTATAGTAATTTGGACAGCATTTTTCTTAAGTATATTACAAATCTTTTGACAAAAGCAAATGTAAGTAGCCCATCTGACTGATATTTTCCTTTTTTACTTCACCCAAGAACAGCTGAATTGATTATTTTTCAAATGATCAAAAGCTTACTATCAAGCATAGATTTAGCACTGAAATTTCATCTCAAAAGTTAGAAGTTTCAGGAATTATTAGCAACTACAGACAAAGGGTTAAAAACAAAATCATGATATAACAAATAACAGCAGATCACAATCAACACCTTGCTATAATATAAATAATCTCTACTTTACAGTTGCTGAAAAATATTCTTATTTCTTCCATAGTCAAGTGAATGTTCCCTCTAAATTACAAGCATGTTGATAGAAATGAACACAACTGCCTACTAGACCCCTACTCTTGCATATTTTAACTGTGCACAGAGATATGGACTAAAGCATCTCTGTGCAGATGTTACTAGTGAATACCTGGAGCAGCAGAGGAAATAGTGGTTAGGAAGTCAGCAGGACCAAAATGGCTAACAATGAGGAGTGAACGGAGGAAGTCACTATGGAAACCAAACAGTACTTTCTAGATGATATACTTTATTAGTCACTAGCAGAATAAACAGTGGGGTTGTCATTAAGCATATAATACCCACACAGAATAGGATAATTAAATTTGGGACAAATTTTAAAGGGTTGCTGTGTTTAATATCCCTACCTTTTGGATTGAGACTTTTGAATCAATTCCTTTTATAAAATTTCTTTGAGTACTAAAGAAAACTCAGAAATCAAACCACTGGTCACTCGGCTACTAAAGTAAACTTTAGCAAACAAAGACAATGTGTAGGCCAGTGGTTGTCTACTTTTAAGCCTTAAGGCAACCCTTCATAACTTTTCTGAATTTTGCAGCACCCCAGGGTGCTGGATGAGATTTACTTAGAATTTAACTTCTGAAAATTTATGGAGGCTGCCTTGAGGCTAAAGAAATTGAGAAAGACTGATTTAGCTGGTGCCAGAGAAGGGTGATGGGGTCAGAACCTCACTCTGCTGTGCCCTGCTCTTTCCACCACTGACTCCCACACCCCATGCCCACAGCGTCCCCTGTGGGTCATGTACGCTGGTGAGTGAAGCCATCTGCTGTCTATGGGTGCCTGCAGACATGCTGGAAGGCTACTCCAATGTGCTGTAATTATAGTGCATCAGTCAATTGAGTCTGCTAGGGCGTGCTAATTAGTCCACTCCAGCAAGCTTCCGTGTTTCATGTATCACTGTCCCCACATTTCAAATTGACAGTGGGAGCACTTCAACTAAAGCTCATTCAACCAGCTTTAGTTAAAGCATCTACACCACCATGTTGAAGTGCTGAGACGCTGATACATGGGAAGCTGCAGGCAATTTAATCAGAGCATCTCTAAAGCCCTACCACCTGAGCATGTGTAAAAATGCCCCATGTGTCTACCTGCCCACAGCACAGCATGCTGCTCAGAGTCTGGGGGTAGGCAGGTGTGCTAGAGGGCAGGGGAGGACAAAGGCAGCAGTCCCTAAAAGAGTGGCTGGGGATGCCACTGGTCTCCAAGATGCTACAATGGACACAGAGAGACAGATGGGGGGACAAGGGGAGGGAAGAGAGTGCTTTAATTCTCACACATGGACTGGGTGCCACAAGTACCCCTTCAAGGGATCTCACAGCACTCTGGTTGAGAATCATGGGTCTATACAGTCTCTCTCATTTAATGCATGGCGTCAGGCATCCGTGGTTTGTTTAGGTGATCAGATACCATCTTGACCGTCTGCTATAAAAACCTCAGATTTGCTGCATTAGAAGAACAAAGCAAGCCATTAACCTTTTATATAGCCAGCTACTCTAGGAAAAAAACCTCCCTGACAAAGCCTCAAGTACTACTCTCAAACAGTTTTGAAAACTGTTTTTTACTGCTCACGTACATAAAACTTTTCAGCACTGGTTTCAATCACACTTTCCTGTAACAAAGCCAAAAGTTGTTGCCATGTCTATGCCACAGTCAAAACCAAAATAAATGGCACAGAGGCCTTGTTGCTGACAAATATTACTAACTCATCCCTTCTTTTGTATAAAGGTTGACCTAATCAAACACGTGTATGTAGACCTCAATTATTTCTGTTTTAGTTCATTAAACTCAGTGGTTCTATACTTCCCTCCAGCTGTGTATAAATAAAGCCCCTTCCCCTTTGGCTATGGACTAATTAGTACCATTATTTTCAGAGTGATGAGAGCAATATAAATGCAGTAGTGGCAGATTAGGTAGAGTAGATGACAAATGAACACTAGAATGGAAAAGAACAATTAATAATTGTTTCAATCAGCCAAGTGGACTAGAGTTTAGCTCTGTATGGGGAACAGCAATTTCATCTTCCAGAGGAGAATGTACATTACGCTAAATAAAACTGTAACAAATTTTAATTAAAGATTTAACACACCACTGAAGCCCTGGGCGTAAGGGCATCTTGGGGCCTTGGTTTCTGATACTCCTAGGATGCATAATGGACTTCTGCAAGTAACGCAGTTGTTTAAGACAAACTAGGCAGGTAGTCTTATGCATGGGCAGCAGTTATATAAAGATTAAACTAAGGTGTGCAATTGCACACCCATGTTTAATTTGATTAATGGATTTATATAGAACTGCAATTTGATTGCTGAAATATTGAACTACAACTACAATTAACTTCTTTTGACACCTAGGGAACCAATAACTGCTTTTAATGTTTAAATTCAATGTAGTTTACATGTAAGTGCTTAATCAAATTTAAATTAAATGTGAATTTAAAATATTTAAAGTAATTTTGGAAATCATTGAGATGGCAAGACAGAAGCAGCTTTTTGTAACTTTAGAGGAAAAACACACCCAACAGATTCACATACTATTAAATATGCAATGACTCCTGTAAATTCTGCTCCATTTCATGTATTACCATCTACTAAAGCAGCAGTGAAGAGGATCTGAAGACAAAAAAAATGGCCATATACATCACTCAAGTACATTAAAAGGCAAGTAACAATAGCAAGTGCTTGGATTTTTAATACACAGAAAGTTTGAATTTTTACAAGCTCTATTTGGGTAGTAAAAAAATAAAAATGATTACAGAGCTTTTCTGCACAGCTAAAAAGTAACGAGACCACTAACATATCTTAACATCTTATGCTTGTGATTGTAAAATTCTAACATAATTATTGCCATTTCTTAAGTAAATAAGGAGCTGGAGATTGTCAAACTGCATAAAAATTAAAGTTAGTTTAAAGACTACATATTCTGGAAAAAACCCAATACTGGTTCTAGAATTATTTTTAAGGAAATTTTTAAAAGGTAGTTGCAGAGTGAAATATCCCTATTTTATATGTGAGAAAACTGTTTAAGTCTTAAGCTACATATGAAATTAAAGCTGTTTTTTTGTTAGCACTACTGAGATATTTTCTTACAGAGAACTCTGATCCAAGAGCTTGTTTTCCCCTAAGCTATTGGCATCAACCTAATGGTCTAATGTCAGTTATTAAATCTTGTATCAACACTTTTTATTGTCAGTTCCTTTGCCACCATGTGCTGCCTACTGTAGACATGTAAAATGCAGAGGTACTGTTTCCGTGATCATAAAGGCTGCTTGCAGACATTAACTCCACCCCCCACACACACAAATGGTGGTTTACTTTAAACTCCGTGTGCTCCTGCACCAAGCCCAGCACAGGCAGTGTGTTAATTGGACCCAGTTCACCTGATGTCTGTATACAGTGGGCATTTCAGTGGGGCTTTTTTGGTGTTTTTATCTAATAGCTATTGAATTGGCTTTAGCTAAGAGCACCAAAAAGCCCTGCTGAAACACCCAATCTATACAGACACTGAGAAGCTGGGTTGAAATAAGCACTGCTTCTTCTGGGAAAGCAGCCAAGAAGGTCAATATCTTTCCAATGGCCAGTAGATTGCAATCAAAAGGAAATCTAGTCAATTTAAAAGAGACATTTATGAGAATCTGAAGCACTCTGCTTTTTGAAACAGTGACAATGAATATGCAATAGAGCTGTCAAGTGAAAAGAAAAACTAAAAAAACAGGAAAACTTGCCTCCACTTCAAACTCTTTTCTTTATATTTAACTTGTGTTATCTGTAATAACAGTGGTAAAATGTTTTTTCAGAAAGATGGGTTATTTAAGCTGATGCCTCTTGCACATACTATTACACTTCTATTAAAGCAGATTAAAATAAACAATACTTACATAAGAGTTTTGCTTATTCAAACAGTTGAAAAATATTAATGAATCAGATTACTTACCAATATTAATAAACCACTATTAAAAATGTATATGTTTTAACTTTAACTAACAAAATAAATTCTCCACTGAGGTAACATTGCCCAAGATAATTTTGTGGCTACTTATTAGGAAGGTTACAACTATTTTATTACTTATTTTCACAATGTTTTTAGTTTCTAGGTGACCAAAACTTTTCAACAGATTCAAAAATTTCATACAGCTTCACTTCTTACAATGTATGCAGCTGTGGTTCAAACTAAGTGGCAGCATTTTTTTCTCTGCAGGAAAAAATGCCCATCAGTAAAAAGAAGAGCTGTACTTAACAGTTCTTACTTTTATTTTGCGATTGCTACCATCCCTTGATATATGAAGTGGGAATTAGCACCTCCTTTAACAGAGGATCTCAAGGCTTATGCTCTTCAGAAAAGAAACGATATACATTTTTATTTGCTTTGTTTCAGCTTATTTTTAATTTATATGCACGCCTTCAGACACCAAAGGTTGGAGAGAACTCCTTTCAAAATCAATTGAAAAAGACTAACATAATTTTCAACAGAAACTGAATCTACTTGTAAAAGCCTGATTCTCTGTTAGTTAACTTGTATAGATCAGGCATAACTGCACTGAAATGTGATGTTATAGGTATAGCAATCTACAGTAAAGATTCATCTAGATTAGGGAATAGTTGATACACTACATCAGAGCAAAACAAGGCTTTTACTTGTGAATTTACCAAAGATGAAGTGCACTGAAGTACTGCATTTTCACAGAAACTTGCAAGTTTCCCTAACCTTGACAAGCCCTCAGTGAGACCAGAATCAGATCCTAACTTGCTGAATATATGGCATAAGTACCATGCTCTTGCCACTACCTGGAAAGCAACAGACGTTACCTAGAAAACTGTGAAAGATTAACTGAAACATTAAAACTTACAGCTGTGGTAAATTGGGTCTAACAAAGGGATCATTTTCTGCCCCATTGACAGCTTTATTTTTCCTTTGTTTTGGTTCAGAATTGGCAGATGGTGCCTGAGAATTATTTGTAGATGGAGGCTTTCGCTTTGCTAGGAGCTTTCTTTGCCTTTCAATCTCTTCTCTTTGTTGATTCACCCACTCTTGCTGCCTGTAAACCCCAAAAATAATATATTATTTCTCATCACATTTGACAACCAACAGCATTCCAAAAGGCAGGTTTCCAGCAATGGATTTAATTCACTAACTGCCTCATTGCTTAGTAAAAACTGAAGAGTTTCAAATTTTTAAAAAGGTACTGCAAATTTGAAAATACCATATTTACTTTTTTGGCATATAGGAAAGGACTTTGCATGGCCTTATTCTGGATGTTTGTTTCTTAGTGTATTCATTGTTGATCCTGTATTTTCTTGCACACAACACCCACCTTTTCCCCAAAACTGGGGTTTGTATAGTAGGCAGGGAAGCTGTTTGCTGGGAAAAAGCACTCCTGGAGTCACTGTGCATGCCATGCTGCTCCCACTCATCTAACTCAAAGTTGAAGGGATGGAGTCCTGTGCTAACTCTCTCACAGCCATATTGGCTGAGCACTGTACCTTCTGCATGAAGCAGAAAAGTGAGCTGCTGGTAGTATCATAAGGCCTGTGATGTGGAAATAACACTTCATTTACAGGAACTTGCATAAAGGACTCCTGATGTTGCAAGAACTTGGTGCCTTAATCTTGTGTGACATAGGAAGTTCTCCTGGAAACAGTGTCCAGGAATGATCATGGCATTTCAGGAGACAGACTGCCATACCAGGAGGTTCCTGCCACCTCACCAGCCTGTCGCCTGGGATGCCACACTCCCTAGACACTCAGGGAGTCAAGTTCCCAGGAGGATTTACTCTTTTGTCACATAGTCAGCCGTGACTGGAAAAACCTTTTTTTCTTGTGTTCTGCCTTCTAAAAAAACAAAGATATGGGTCTTATCGTGGGGGAAAGGTGAGGGAGGGCAAGATGAGGTGAGAAGTATTATATATGTGACAAAATACATTATCTTTCAAAATTTGCAATTTTTGTAAAGTTAATATATTGATAATAATCAAAGAGTTGTACTTTTTATTAACAATCATCTCAATATAAATGAAGAACAGTATCATATAAGAGTGTCACAAGAAATAAATCAGTGTTTAAAAATATATTACTTTAACTTCTTATGGAAAAAGTTTCTAGAGGCTTGGCACATGCTTTCTGCAACTAGGAAAGAAACTATATCTTGAGAAAGTGGACAATATGGCTTAACAAAAGGAAAGAGTCAGGAATGTCAATAAAAATATCAATATAATTGTATATGAACAAGATATTCCATCTGAGCTGAGTTGTCATTAATAAATCAGTTGGGTTAGATTACAAATAATAATGGTACGCATACAAAAATCACATATATACAGAAGGCTACTTAAACTAAAGCATTATATACTACTAGGTCAGGGGTTCTCAAACATTTAAAGTAGGTCTATTTCTTAAGAGCATCTCCCCTCACAATCATCTATTAATCCCATTCAGGTTTCCATACCTTCCATATATACTTAATAAAATTAAAAAACTGAGTCAGTTTCCTTCCCAAAGCATGTATCTGAAATAAATTAATTGCTTTCTCCCTCCCCAATTCCACCCTCTACCCAGTTTCCCCAAATGCTTCCTCCTCTATCCCATTCTCTGCTGAAGTACCTTGTTAAGGCAGGTCTTTTCCTGCTGGCGGCTACAGGCTCCTTTCCCCCATCCGCTTATGCTAGCAGCAGCCCCTAGTGGAAGCTGCTAGGTTTGCTCCTCCTTCTTGCTCCTCCTTCATTGCAATGAAGAGCCTGGATGTCTGAAGAAGCTGCTATAATGAAGGATGTGGAGCCAGCACCATGTGACCAACAAGCACTCCACAGACCATTAACTGTTCCACTGACCACCAGTAGTCTGTGGACCACAGTTTGAGAATCACTGATCTAAGTTTACAACTTTTTCTATCAACTGTGCTGAATAATTAAGTGATGCTCATTTAGTAAATTCACACTTTTTCTAAGGCTTGTTAAAATCAAGTGAGACCCAAATCATCTTCTTTCAAAGACACCAGGACTCAGCATTCTACATTCTGTCAGTTGATTAAGGGAGTTCTGTACTGTATTCTCAAACTTCAAAAGGCACAGCAAAATACTACATATGAAAAGTAACTCCAATCCTAGAAGCTCTTAGTAATAAAAAATCCACTGGAGGGAACTGACAATTACTGAGAATTTTAAAAACATAACATTGACTAACTTCACAAGATTCTGAAATGCAAAGCCATCTGTCCACTGTTCAGTAAATGAAGCACCATGACGAACTGTTGTAAAATGCCCAAGGCGTAATCTGTCTTGCATGCTCTTCTCTCTGCTTGCCAGCTTTTCTTGTGTGCTCTAAGGAATCAAAATATTAGCATTTAGTTTTACTAAAGTGTTTAAAAGTCAGTACATACAAAGCCCCATCTAACATTCATTTTTTGTGTGGCGAATAATGGTGGATATAAATAAGTTTCTACTACTTTTATTCCAATTAATGCTGAAGATCCCATATAGCCTGTTATTCTTCTATGTATGATACTATGAGCAAGAAGACCTGAGCTTTATTTTCAGTTTCCACCTTGAGTTTGTGATCTTGGCAGTTAGCAAAAAATATTTTCATTTGTAAACATAACCATACTGACACAACATCACAGGTATGAACACACAACTCAGAAGGAGGAGAACATCTTGGATAGGGGAATATAAGTCACCTCCGGGTTGTCAAAATACTAGGTTACTAAGGATGGCCTACATGGCCTTGAAGAGCCTGTAGGACTTACTGTAGTCCGGAGAGCCAGACAACATCCTCAGAACAGGGCACAAGTCTGCTACATTTCATTCCCAGGACACCTACTATGTTATAGCTTGCAAAGCAGCCATTATAAAGCCATATATAATAGTTAACCTCTACTGTACCTCCACTCTTACAAGATAAGGGCTTATAGGAACCAGACTTATCACACTGAATACCCCCCACCCAAAAAAACCCCCAAAGAAACCAGTTACACACAAACTTTTGCATTTTTTGATGTGTTTTATAGGATACTATTTTTTCTAGTGGTTTTTCTTTGAAGCTTTTGGGCTGGGGAGGGAGGAGGGGATGCCACATAGTCTTTATTTTTTTAAAGAAAAATTTGGTTAGTAAGGATAGCATTAAATTTGAAGTTCACACCTCAAATAAATGGGATGACAGAGGGGCAAATTAACACCTTGGCTGCTCTTAGTACTGGGTTGAAGGCAGAAGACAGCATTAAATGATTTACATTGGAAATTATCCCAGTTCCCTTATGTGCGCTTCACCAAAGGATTCTGCATGTTCCCTGCAGAACATGTTCATATGTATTTTTTCAACCATTTCTAATTTTATTTTAAAAGTTTACTCAAAAATTCCCACAGAGAACAGAAGCCACCGAGAGGACTAGCCATATATTAAGTTTACATCTTTTACTATATTTGAATTAATGATGAACAAAAAGGAAGACAGTTTAAAAATGCATTTTCCTACTCCTTCATAACTCAGAAGTGTCTTAAGTTTAAAAATAATAACTTCTGAACCGAGAACAAGCAGGAAAATGTCATCCTCAATGGAGATTTGCAGATGTTATGTACAGTCACCTTTCCCTGGAGATTTTCAAAAGACGACTGGACGCCCACCTCGCTGGGGTCATCTGACCTCAGCAGTCTTTCCTGCCTTAGAGCAGTGGGGCTGGACCTGATGATCTTGTGAGCTCGCTTCCAGCCCCTAACTTCTATGAACCTTCTATGAACAAGTTAAAACAGATGGGATAACAGATCTATAGTCCTTTCTACCAAAACTAGTGCAAAGGCACTGTTTCAGCTTACCTTTTCAATTAGAAGTTTCTTGCTCATTGAAATGCATTTGTTTAATCTTTCTTTGTATTTTTCAAGTAACTTTTGTTGCTCATCTATTTGCCTTCTAAGATCACAGTTAGCCTAAGAAACATACCAAATGAAACTCAAAAATTTAAAATCTCTCTGGTGTAAATGTTAAAAATAAAAAATGTAACTTATTAAAATGTACATTATGCTTGACATTAAACTAGAATATGAAAAGCACATTAACATTTACATAAGCAAAACAATTAATTGTTGGTACATGGATCTATTCAAATCTCTAGTGATGGCTTTATTTGCCCCCCCCCTTTTTTTTAGTTCCTGAAGTCCATAATTTCCAAAAGCTACACACCAGAATATTGGCTACCATACATTTTATATTCTATTTTAGAGGACATTTTGCATGTAATTTAATACATTAGCCTTTTCTACACTTTCATGATTAAATAGAAGTTTCAATTCTAGCTCCAGTGCCTTTTCACAAAGAGTTTCAGCAATTAAATGGAAACACAGTAATCTTTCATATTTCATAATAAAATAAAAATTCAGGCTGTGACAAAAGTTTTGGATATCTTTGCAAAAAGCTAATAATAGTGTAAAATGTTGATAGTCATAACTGATTTCAAACCTCTGAGGTAAAAATTATTCTCACTGTAACACAATGGCTTTCTTTAAATATTATATTTATTACTGTTATACAGTCGAATATAAAAATAAAAAATATTGTATATGTAAATATATGTATTGGGGATAAACACAAGACACTGGTGAAAGTTATTTTAAAGTCTGATTTACTCATCATCTTTAAAGTTTTATTTTTCTGGTCTCCTTAGTTGTCTCCTTTTGTTCACATCATTAATCTACATCAGTTAATCTCACTTCTGCATCCCAAACCCTGGAGCTTAACCATACAACTCCTTTGTTTCAATACTTTCCGGTGTACTTTACTATTTTTTGATTAAGGGCAGTCATTTTGTTCCCAAATAGTTGTCACAAGTACCCTAGAAATATACACAGTAATACTTTTGCTATTGACAATTGCTGTGCTTTACGTTTAAATCAGGAGATCTGTCATGTGAAAATATAACAGAAACAAGTCAAATTTATTAACACACTGTAAATACAATATCAACCTCTCTCTCAAAGCCTCAAAAAGTCTGTAACCATATACAATAATTGGCAATGACAAAAAACATTTTTTTAAATACTGAAGCAAGAAAAAATGCATTTGCTTATCAGAATGTGCTCTCAGAAAAAGCATCGATGCAGATTGAGTATTTATATTGTTATATACATATAACTCCAACAACTGCTTTTTAAAATACAGCTTTTCTTTAGCGTTTAATACTTACCCTGAGCAAGTCATCTATACGACCTTCTTTCTTTTCCAAGTCTTGATTTTTATTACTTTCTAGTGCAGCTAATTTCAGCATTGTGAGATCAGTCTAAACAAAAACAGGTTCCAATATTTAATTCAATTGTTCAATATTTAAAATATGATTTTCTTAAATTTTCATTATACAATATTATTTTACTTTATTATGATTTGTCTTGGTCTTTTAATAGGCTCAGTTAAGTAGAGATGGGACGAGACACCTAAACTGATAATAGATTCCTTCATTTACTCAAAGCCAATCTGCTAAAGAACAACTTGTTTTGTTCATTGGGAGTGAACACAGACAGAAAAAAAAGTATGTCCCATTGAGCATACCCTTGGTAAAACAACTCTGAAAGACAGAGGGTCACGGGATTTAGTTGGATATGCCAGACAAAATGCTCCTGCAGTGGTAAAAAGGTAAAAGATGATTGTCACTGGTAATTAGCTTTGATTTTTTATGTTTGAGAGGCTGTGACCTCACCTCTCATCATTTTAATTACCATCATCTTTTTCGCTTCCCTGTCTGCTTTTGAATTTTGACATGACTACAGCCATTTCATTTACTGACACAGATAGAAAACATTGCGTCTATGATCACATAACAGAATGCCGAGCAAGGCATGAAGCATTTATCTGTAAATATTAGTTGCTGATGAGATGCTATGGTGGAAGAAAAAGTGAATGTACAACACTGAAATCTGAATGACTATAATCAGAGACCTAAATGTTTTAGCAAACCTCTAAAAATGCTTTCAGAACCTGGACATTTCCTAGAGAGTGGTCCTGAATCAGGTACCAAACAGGGAAACAGTCACTGCTCAATGTTTTCACATATACTCAAAATGATACGAGAGGTTTCTACTCAAAGTGCTTACCTGAGTAACTTTAAATGATAACTGCTTTGGTTGCATAACAGGGTGGTCCCCAAAAGCTAATGAAGTAGGAGAAGGACTATTTTGCCGAACCTAAACCACGAATAAACAACAGAGATCAGCTGCAAATTAAAATATTCAAATTACAAGATAAAACACAATTGGGATAAAGATTACAAAAAGCTGAAAAATATCCACCTGACTCCTTCCTTATTATTTAGTAGTTTTAGTTAGAAGAGTAAAATACATATCAAAGACATGAAGATAAAGTATACAAAGCTCTTTTATCTAGGGTATAAAGTTTATAAATATCTTGTTAGACATCACTTAAAATATTGTATCTAATACCAACTGATGTTTCATTAAACATCACATATATTGGAGATAGCACAACACATCCTCCAGTTAAGGGTAACTGTGTCCAAATCTCCTTTCCTGGAGGCTTTCAAGAGGCTAGATAAGCACTGGGCAGGGATGATTTAGGAATAGAATGTTTGTACTCGGGTAAGGGGGTTAGACCAGATGAGCCTTGAGGTCTCAGTCCCTTCCAGCCCCATGGATTCTATCATCTGTCTCCAGGAAAAAAAGAGATTTAATCTTATTTTCTATGAAATAGAAGAGACTGAGGTAATCTAATTGAAATGTCAACAGACTGATACATATCACAAGAGGAACAGACTAAAAAGTGGTGAAATACAGTCACAACTACATATAAATTTATGTTGATACCCAAGTTTTTTCTACTGACCACAGATTTTAAATGGGATAAACACACCTCATTTAATAGCTCTCATATACCAAGTCTAACAACCTTGCTGGTAAGCAATTGGTATAACAACTTGCAACCTTTCCCAATATCCCTCAAGTAGCTTTTGTTTTGAGAATAAGGTTTGTAAATTTGAAAATAACTAAGCTGGGTTTCCCTGTATTTTTGGAGATCCTCCTTGCTATTAGCAGCTGTTGTATATTATGGATCCAGATATACAACACCTTAGTCTGAAATTTCTAAGAAAAAAAAAAAAAAAACCCAGGGAAGAAGGAAGAAATTTTAGCCAGATTCAAAGGTTCCCTGATGCTCTGTTGCTCAGAATATAAAGCAATTTTAAACTAATTCCAAACATGTTACCATTCAGAAGAAAACAGAGTTTTTTTGGTGTAGTTTTGTGTAAAGTGTAGTTTTTTTGTGGGTTTTTTTTTTTTTTTTTTTTTGCATTAAACCCTTTCTGTGATGGAAGAACTGGTCCTGCCATCTGGAATTATGCAAGGGCAAACTCAATACTGGAATCACAAGATACTAGATGAAAAAAACTATTTATTTTCATATTATATCCCAAATTGTGCATTTCAAACATTAGTAGTAAAGACTAACTCTTACTATATATTAAACCAAAAAATCTGTGTAATCAGCAACTGTAATTATAAGCACATCTAGAAGAAAAGTTTTGTTTGGGCCTATGCAAACAGCTATTATGCCTTGCTTTGCAAATTCCTTAGGGCGGGGAGGAATGGGACAGGGATTGTGAATGTGTTTTAAAATTACTTACGTAGAAATCAAACCACTACCAAATATATCCACACCATACAGCCATTTGTACAAAAGTGTACATTACAGGAATAAACAAGGGTATATTTTAGCCACTTAAAAAGGGGAAGGGGGAGCTGCTACTCAGAAATGCACATCAGCTGTCGCTATTATATCAGCATGATGCTTCAGCCATAAGAGTTAGCTAAATGGCATTAACTTTGACCCTGAATGAAACAGTGATGGAGCAATTTGGCCCCATTTGTAGCACTACAGAATCATGCAGACATAACAATTGCATCATAAGCAGCTTGTATTAGTATCTTTTGGAGCTTCCATTCAGACTTTAAGGCTAAGCAGAGACATTTGGGCATGTTTGGGGCAGGTTAAATTGATACTAAGCTGCTACCTGATAGATATCAAGTCAGTCAGGACTGGGGTGGAGGGGCGAGAGGGCAGGACTGGTATGACTCCATGGGGGGAGGTCCCCTCCCAGTGAACCTACACCCCCCCACCAGTACTTACTTGCTCAGCTCCAGCAGCAATGAACGCTGATAAAAGCAACTGCACCCAGAATGGCTTGTGGGATGGGGGATGAGAGGGCTGGCTAGTCGGACGGGGGTGGTGG